CCTCATCTGTAAACACACACTGGACGGTGAGGGCGGAGAATGTTCGATGTCACCGGGTCCTAGGACGCATGCTCAGGGGCCTCCCCTCTGCTGAGACTTACTAGGCTCTGGCCCTGTCCAGTGCTACAGCCGCTGAGGGCTTCCAAACACTGGCCCTGGGAGCAGCATGTTTCAGCCGTGCAGGTGGGGGCAGAAAAGCCTCTCCTTCACCTGAGCTCAACTTCCTCCCCATCTACATCCCCCTCTTCCACCTGTCGGCCCAGATGATCTGTTCTGGCTTCTCGCCTCTTTCACAGAACCTGGCTCTGTGGCCACTGAAAAGTGCCAATCCCACTGTCCACTCTGATCACAGGTGTTTTCACAGTGCCAAGAAAGTGCGACTTCTCACAGTTCAGAAACACTACACAGAAACCCTCTACTCTCTCAATGTGTAGAGGTGGCTGGAACCCCTCTTGCACATGGCCTGAGCACCGAGCTTCTGAGCCGAGCATCTGGGACCGCTCAGGGAACAGCTCAGCCCACCATGAGCTCAGGCCGTTCCACACGGAGACTTGCAGCGGACCCTGGAGGAAGGACTGCCCTTCGTTCTAATGGAGGGAACACCCAAGTTTCCAAAAGCTGAGCTCACAATGGTCTCTGGGGATGGTTGTGGTGTGAGTGAGAGCAGAACCAAAACCAGACTGGGTTTGCTCTCCCCTTCCCCCACCATACAACGGCATAGTGTCATAACTGAGAGTGCCTGAAGGGCTTGTGCACTGGCTTTGTTGGTAGAGTGCTTGCATCACTTGCACAAAACCCTAGATTTCCCCCCAGCACCGCATAAAGCAGGTGTAACAGTGCGCTCCTGTAACCCCAATATTCGGGAGGCAGAGACAGGAGGATCCGTACATCAAGGTCATTCTCAGCTACATGTGGAATTTGAAGCCAGCTCAGGATATGGGAAATCCTGTCTCAAAATGAATGAAAGAGCCAGGGCCAGGACTCATGCCTTTAATCTTAGGACTCAGGAGGCAGAGGCCAGTGGATCTCTCTCTGAGTTCAAGGCCAAGCTGGTCTATATTAGTGAGTTCCAAGCAATCCAGAAAGAAAAAAGAAAAGAAGACATCTACAACACAAAAATAAGTACAATACATCACTCCGTTATTATGAGATGCATTACACACACCATTCCATTGCTATGCATCAGTCCATTATTATGAGACGTGTTAGACACACTGCTGTCTTTATAAAAACCCAAGCAGACAAGTACATCCAGAAAGACTCAATAGGAAACATGGAGCTAGCTGTAGGTGGCTGGGGACCAACTGCCAAGGCCGTGAGGCTTCTTTCTGAGGTCCTGACCACACTCTAACATCCGTGTTGCAGTGGCAACCATGGACCAGTGTACTGTAAACAAGTGCATCAAGCAGTATGTAAAACTGCATCTCCATAAGTTTGGTTACAACAGAGTAAGGTGGCCCAGGCTCCATGTCCTTCCAATTCCATGCCGTGAGTACTGGCATCTCAGAGCTGTGAAACATCCAAAACTCTGGGAGAGCCCCCGTAATCTGTCAAGCCTGTGGGGGAATCTGAGGCTCTGAGGTAGGAGACCACAGCTCATCATAGGTGGCTGTCAGCCTTGGCTGCAACCTGGACTCACCCAGGTGAATTTTAAAAGCTAGACCCACACTCTGGGCACAAAGCAAACCGAGCTGGACTCTAGGAGGGGACTCACGCCCCAGATGCCAAAAGCTTCATGTTCACCTCTTGCACAGCAGGTGAAAGCCCCTGAGAGTCTCACGGCCCCCTGCTCTATGGTACCTTTAAGACCTTGTCCTAGGGGCTGGGGAGATGGCTCATATGTTAAGGCACACAAGTGTGAAGTCCTGAGTTTGGATCTCCAGAACCCAGAGAAAGCCAGATAGAGCAGCTCTTGGCCATATTCCTAGCATTCCTACAGCAAGAAAGGAGCGGCTTCTTCTTCTTCAGGTAGCGAATGCCTTTAATCCCAGCACTCAGGAAGCAGAGTCAAGTAGAGCTCTGTGAGTTGGGGGCTAGCCTGTTCTACATAGCAAGATCAGGAGAATCCCTGGATGCTCAGGGCCATCTAGCCAACAAAAGACCCCATCTCAAAACAAGGTGGGAGGAGCCAGTAAATTTGCTGTATAAGCCCTGATGACCCAAATTCAATCCCAAATCCCACATAAGGGAGGAAGGGGAGAACCTCTGACCCTCACACTCTTGCTATGACATGCATCCCCTCCCATCACACACACACACTAGCAGTAAAGAAAATATCTTGAAACACACACACACACACACACACACACACACACACACACACACACACA